GACACATTTTAAAAGTATGAGGGAAAACCTAGAAGTGAAAACGTAAAGAGAATAATATCTGCTAGCGGTGAGCTTGAGCTGTTAGAATTTGTGTATCAAGACTTAAAAGAAGCATAATGTAACAAATAAACGATGAGTTGGTGATATATAGGTTGCTTATTTGAGCTACCAAACCTTTCTCGTTGTCTAAGTTTACACGACATGTGAGCTGGAGGTTCTAATATTTGATTTCTTGATTGAGGATAGAAATGTTCAAAAGAATTAATTTGAGTATTAATTTTTTTAATTATCTTAATCTCTTAAAAAAATAAAAGTTTTGATATTTGGAATGTTATTTTTCAATTTTAAATCCATGTTTAAAATAAATATAAAAATATATTTTACTTATTAACATTTTTTTTTTATTAAAACAAAAATTTGAATCAATGACGGGAACAATTCCAGCCAATCAATTTAAATTTTGAGATAGTTGGGTTAGTGCTAGAATGTGGGATTTAGGTGTAACAAAACCTTTATTATAAGAATGTGAAAATCTATTCTTAGTAGACACATTTTTAAAATTGTGAGGTTGAGGACGATGCGTACAGATTGAAGCAGATAATATATAGGTAGACTTAGAGCTCTTACAAAGAGCTAGACAACAAGTGGTGTGTCCAGTGTCACTGGTGTGTCCAGTGAGGACACTCCGCCTCTAATATGGATGAATTGTGAGATCCCACGTCGTTTTGAGAGGGGAATAAAATCCGCCCCTAATATGGATGGATTGTGAGATCCCATGTCGGTTTAAGGAATAAAACATTCCTTACAAAAATGTAGCCACACCGAGCGGTGCGAGCGAGGACACTAGGTTCCCAATGGAGTAAAGAAAATATTCCATTGAAACCCATAAACCTAAGTCAAATTTTCAATTTTTCAAAAACTCAACCCAACTCAAACGGAAAAACCTAATCCAGCCGGTGATAAGAACACTAATACATTTTTAGGCCTTGGGTTGTAAACCAGGACATTCCAATATGAATTTCTTCCAAATTTGAATTTTCAATGCAGAAGAGATTCATTCACCTTCCCTTCCAAGATCAATGGCCGTTTTAGCATTTACACGCCATTAAACTCATTGCCCTTCTCCTTCATTGCCCATCTTCCCTCTTTGATCCTCTTCCACCTCCATATCTGAACAAAGTCTCAAGTTCGAATCCCACGTTCGAAAATCGGTTCCATTATGATGGAACCAATGGAATCAGACGACAGTTCCATTTTCAATAACTTTTCTTCAATCTGTGTTCATGTCGATCGAATCCATTCCAGCAGCGTCTTCATCGGAGAAAACCCTTTGGAATTCTCAGTTCCTCTTCTTCTTTTACAGCTCGGAATCTGTTCTGGAACGATCATCTTCTTGTTTCAGCTTCTCAAACGCCTTGCTCAACCCCTCATCGTATCACAAATTTTGGTAACTCCTCTGATTTCTTCAACCCTTTAATCCAAATTTCATTTTCTAATTCAAATGGATATTGATTTTTGTTCTTGTTCTTGTTGTTCTTGATCAGAGTGGATTAGTTTTAGGTTATTTCGGCGCGGGATTCTTGGAGAAATTCAGAGAAACAATTTTCCCTATCAGGGGACTCATATTTCTGGATGCGATTTCTTCGCTTGGACAGGTTTTTTACTTCTTTCTTATTGGTGTTCAAACGGATATGTCGATTATCAAGAACATTGACAAAAGAGCCTTTGGAATTGGGGTTTGTTCTGTGATTTTGCCTACGATTCTCTCCAATTTGTACACTGTAACCCTTGTGAACACTGTTGATTTAGACACAATCAAAACCCTTTTTCTGGTTGGTAATGCAGAGAGTTTTATCCACTTTGCCATGGTTGCTTCTCTTCTTAATGAGCTTCATTTGATAAACTCAAAATTTGGGAAAATTGCTTTGGCATCTTCAATGAGTTCCAATTGTTTCGGCTTGTTCTTTCAAAAGATAGGCATGTTGTTGGCTAATGAACGTAAGGTCAGGCTTCATGCCTTGTCCACAGTTTATGGTTTCATAGTTCTAGCTGTTATCATTTTGAGTTTTCAGCCTGTGATTTTGTGGATGACAAAGAACAGTCCAGTGGGGCAGCCATTGAAGGAGAGCTTTGTTATTACATTGTTTTTAGGGGTATTGGTTGTGGCCTTCTGTAGCCAGGCTTCTGGTATGCATATCTATTTTGGTCCTATTTTGCTTGGGATTACAATACCTCCAGGGCCTCCCATTGGATCAGCAATGGTGGAGAAGCTTGATATCATCGCCTCATGGGTTTTGATGCCTATCTTCTTTGCCAAAATAGGATTGGTTTTCAGTATCCATACCATCAAGCTCTTGAATTTCTTATGCATATCATTCATTATCATTGTGGCTGCATTTGGGAAGTTTTTGGGTGCTTTAATGATGTCGATATACTACAAATTACCTACGAGAGACGGTGTAGCGCTTGGCCTTATCTTGAATAGTCAAGGAGCTCTCGAGATCGGAATCTATAAGTTAATGAAGAAGGACAAGGTAGGAATCTGTGTTTCTTTGATCATCGTTGTTGAATTGCATCGAATCGTTCTCATAAACTTACTTTAGTTTTGTTTCTTAAATCCATGCAGGTCTTGGATGAAGAAACATTTGTAGTTATGTGCATATGCGTTATGGTTGTGGCTGCAGTTATCACTCCTATTATAAGATATCTCTTTGATCCTTCGAGAAGATTTGTAGTTGAGAAGAAAAGAACAGTAATGCACTTGAGACCCGAGTTTGATCTTAGTGTATTAGTTTGCATTCACGACCAAGATGATGTTCCGAGTGCTATTAACATACTCGAGGCCTTGAAGCCAATGCATCGAAACCATCTTATTGTGTATATGCTTCATCTTGTCGTGCTTCTTGGTCGTGCTAACCCACAACTTATTCACCATAGGATCACAAAGTTGAGGACTTCTTCAAGGTCTTGTGTCTCTGAGAGTATTGTTAATGCCTTCAAATACTTTGGACAGAGCAACAGTGATGTTGTTACAATTCATCCCTTCACTGCAATATCACCTTCTACAACTATGTACGAAGACGTTTGTTCGCTCGCGCTCGACAAAAGAACTTCCTTGATTCTTATTCCTTTCCACAAGAGATTTCATTCCAATGGCATGATGTCGTTGTCTAAATACAAAATGAAAATGTTTAACCAACATATCCTTGACAAGGCACCCTGTTCGGTCGCTCTCATTGTTGAACGTGGAATCGTAAAGATCTCGAGGTCTATTTCTACTAATCTTTATTCTTTTCAAATAGCTATTGTCTTCATAGGCGGGCCAGACGACCGTGAGGCAATCTTCATCGGGACAAGAATGATTGGACATCCATATATAAACGTGACATTGATTCGCTTGTTGGAGGACACAAATTCTCCAAGCGATGACGGTAAGGAGATGAAGCTGAACAATGAGGCAGTGAGCAAGTATCACAGACTCCTGGAGAACAACCATAGAGTGCGGTATATGGAAGAGGTGGCAAAGGATTGCACTGGTACAGTCGCCATACTCCGTTCACTGGAGAATAATTTCGATCTCATAATGGTTGGAAGACGACATAGCCCACGCTCCCCGCTCGTTCAAGGCTTGTTGCTTTGGAATGAGCAGACAGAGCTTGGGTCAATTGGAGAGGTATTGGCTTCTTCAGATTTTATAGGCAATGCCACCATCTTTGTTGTGCAACAACACAGAAAAGTGGTTAATGAAGACCCAGAAACATCAAAAAGATAACACTTGGATGCTTAAAGAGTTGCCCATTCAAGGTCAACTCATAAGAGTTTTGATTCCCTTCTCTCTTTGTAAATTTTTGCATTTTGTCCTAATTTCTTTTGTTAATATACTTATATTAGCGTTCTTCGTCTTTGTTCTTTCACGATGGCTTGAGAATGAAAAGAAACCATTGGTGAACTTAGACTAGAATGATCGTTAACATAAACATACCTCAACCGTTAAGAACATCTACTGTGTCTTTTAGATCCGTTAATCCTACTCATATTTGTAATTTCCACGCATGCTAGATTCATTGCATGCTTGACAACAAGGATGTCAACCTAAACAGAACAGATGATGAAAAATTAAGCTTTAAACAATAACAAACACTTGAAACAATACAAAATTTCATTAAAACAGAACAGCACAAAAGGACAGTCCCTGTTCTGGCGTTGGATCTTTCCCTGTAGAGCCTTATAGAATGATAAAAAAACTTCACCGCCCAAATTCATGAACATCAGACTTTTAAGCATTTGTCGAGGAACTCACGTTGATCGTTTAGCAGACGTACTGATCTTATAGAATGATAAGCTTAGCTGTGCTAACAGACCATGTTGTATCTTTAGCTGATTCAAGCGTATGCGAATATAGATGCGTATACGAGAAGAACGAAGGTAATACATGTCAAATGATGAGACTAACAGAGAAGTAAGTTCATAAAAACATGCATATGATAGGTTAGAAACATCTCCAAAGTTCTTGTTCTAATGGATTCTTGTAAACAACAGTCCAAGAACTCTACAAAGAGAAAGTTCATGAGTTTCTCTAGAACCAAATAAGATACCCCATGGGGAAAACTCGACCTTATACTATAAGCTCATGAAACGAGCAGATTAAGCAAATACCAGAGAATCCGAGCAATGAATTAGCAGAATTTAAGATACCAAAACGACGAAAGTGCGGATAGAATTACACGCTTCAATCAGACCTACAATACCTTTTTCAATGTAATAATGTTAAGCTAGGGAGTGTCACAATCGCTTTTCGAGTTAACGAAAAGCAGACACTAGACCTGACCCCGACGACCATCGGCAAGTGAACATCCTAAACTGCTCCTTCGACATTAAGTTCACTTAGCAAGGGAGTAAAATAAGCAGTTTGAGATTCAGAACTCACATGTTATTGATAAGAGACCAAATGCAAAGAACAAACTAAATAGCTTCTTGGATTATGCAGAGAGATTGAAAACTTGGGGACAAGAAAAAATTATACCTTAAAATTCACAAACAAATTGTTCATCATTCCATCAAGAACTAGAAAAGAAGTAAAATTGCCTTACATGATCAACACGCCTTTTGAATAGAGAAACAAACAGAAAAATGAAGTTAAGCTCAAGCCAAGCTGCTCTAAGTTGCAGATAATCACACCTGCAAAAGGCAAAAAGATATCAAAAACCTCAATGTTCTTAACCATTAAAACTTTCCAAAAGCTTTCTAAGAATCAAGAAAGAACCTGGCATGTGAAGAAGAGCTTGAAAGATTGCCATTCACAGGGGGAGGAGGTGCAAACCAGGTAAAGATCTCTCTCTCTCTCTCTCTCTCTCTTGAAATTATACAATACAATACAAACCCATTTAGAAAAAAGGAAATTGAAAGGAAAAAAAGTGAAAAAAAAAAGTCCTTGTTCTTCAATTTTCTACCCTGAATCTTGTGAATCATCTTTAGCAGGAGGTTGCTGGTGTTGTTGATGATGGTGATGAACTCTAGCTTGGCCCATTTGTTGGTAAAACTGGTTCAATGCTTGTGGATTGATAGCCCCAATATGGGGATCTTGGCTCAATCCAAGCTCTAAACCAGGTAGCTGTTGAGCGTTTGCACCTAGAATGGAGGTGAAACTCATAGGACCCATGTTGGTGGGGGGTAAGTCAAAGGCTGGGAAACCAAGTTTATGAAAGTAATTTGAAGTTTCATTAGCTAAATTAGTGGCTGATTGAGCAACACCAGCTGTAGTTGATGACTGAAACCCAAACCCACTGACAGAGGAGGGCCAAACCGCTGTGGCTGTGGCGGCGGCGGCGGCGGCGGCGGCGGCAGCAGCAGCCAAATGGGGTCGTCCCAAATTCCCCCAACTGGCCCTACTGGACCCGCCACCGCCTAATTCCTCCAATTTTTGTTGTAATCCGGCGGAGAGAGAAACCCCTTGTTGCGAAACGGAACCCGCCACTGCTGCTAAAGCAGAAGCTGGGATCGTTCCAGTTCCAGTGGCGGCGATTATCGATGGCTCCGCTTGCTGTAGCAACCACTGGATGGTTTCGCCGTCGGATTTATGACCCAATTCCCTCGTTAATTGAAAAATCCTCGCCGCACAAAGTGCCGGCATACGGATTCTCCGGCCACGTCCTTCCACTTTTGTGTGACGGTCTTTGTTGGAGCTTCGTTTTGGAGCTAATTGTTTCTTACCTTCTTCTTTGATTTCCGGTGGTTTGTTTTCCCCCATGATCGATTGTTCTTGTTGGTGTTCTTGTGGGAAGTTCAAAAAGTTTGGTACCAGTTCTTGGGGCTGCTTTGTTGATGATGAAGTTTTAGGATCCATGGAAGAAGAAGAAGAAGAAGAAGAAGAAGAAGAAGAAGGGCACAAAAAGAATGAATTATTTTATACAAAAACTGAGTCGAACCACAAAAAAAATAGTGTTTTTGGAATGAAATGAAAGAGAAATTGAAGTCCCATTTGTCAAAATTGTCTTTGATCTCTGTTTTCTTTTCTTTTTTGCTTTCTGGGTTCCCTCTGATCTGTCCTTTCTTACCACTTTTCTTACTGTTTTGGGCTTTTGACCAAATGTGAAAGCAACTTTAACTACCAAAACATTTTTTTTTCACCTTCATTCACTCACTCACTTCCATCTTCAACCCTTATCTTTAGGACATTTTCCTAGTCGTTCGTTTCACGGACCTTCCCTTTCTACCTTATGCGAGTGTATATATAGGTTTTGTTGAGAATATCAGGTCGGTCGACAACTATAGATTTTCTTCGTCCGGTGGGAGAAGAAGAGTTGCTTTCATGGGTCTTCCCTTTCTACCTTATGTGAGTGTATATATAGGTTTCGTTGAGAATATTGAGTTGAACGACAAATATAGTTTTCGTTCGTCTCGTGAGAGAAGAAGAGTTGCTTTCATGGGTCCTTCCCTTTCTACCTTATGTGAGTGTATATATAGGTTTCGTTGAGAATACTGAGTCGAACGACAAATATAGTTTTCGTTCGTCTCGTGAGAGAAGAAGAGTTGCTTTCATGGGTCCTTCCCTTTCTACCTTATGTGAGTGTATATATAGGTTTCGTTGAGAATACTGAGTTGAACGACAACTATAGTTTTCGTTTGTCTCATGAGAGAAGAAGAGTTGCTTTCATGGGTCCTTCCCTTTCTACCTTATGTGAGTGTATATATAGGTTTCGTTGAGAATACTGAGTCGAACGACAAATATAGTTTTCGTTCGTCTCATGAGAGAAGAAGAGTTGCTTTCATGGGTCCTTCCCTTTCTACCTTATGTGAGTGTATATATAGGTTTCGTTGAGAATATTGAGTTGAACGACAACTATAGTTTTCGTTCGTCTCGTGAGAGAAGAAGAGTTGCTTTCATGGGTCCTTCCCTTTCTACCTTATGTGAGTGTATATATAGGTTTCGTTGAGAATACTGAGTCGAACGACAAATATAGTTTTCGTTCGTCTCGTGAGAGAAGAAGAGTTGCTTTCATGGGTCCTTCCCTTTCTACCTTATGTGAGTGTATATATAGGTTTCGTTGAGAATACTGAGTCGAACGACAAATATAGTTTTCGTTCGTCTCGTGAGAGAAGAAGAGTTGCTTTCATGGGTCATTCCCTTTCTATCTTATGTGAGTGTATATATAGGTTTCGTTGAGAATACTGAGTTGAACGACAACTATAGTTTTCGTTTGTCTCATGAGAGAAGAAGAGTTGCTTTCATGGGTCCTTCCCTTTCTACCTTATGTGAGTGTATATATAGGTTTCGTTGAGAATACTGAATTGAACGACAAATATAGTTTTCGTTCGTCTCGTGAGAGAAGAAGAGTTGCTTTCATGAGTCTTCCCTTTCTACCTTATGTGAGTGTATATATAGGTTTCGTTGAGAATACTGAGTCGAACGACAAATATAGTTTTCGTTCGTCTCGTGAGAGAAGAAGAGTTGCTTTCATGGGTCCTTCCCTTTCTACCTTATGTGAGTGTATATATAGGTTTCGTTGAGAATACTGAGTCGAACGACAAATATAGTTTTCGTTCGTCTCGTGAGAGAAGAAGAGTTTCTTTCATGGGTCCTTCCCTTTCTACCTTATGTGAGTGTATATATAGGTTTCGTCGAGAATACTGAACCGATCAACAACATACAGTTTTCGTTCGTCCTGTGAGAGAAGAAGAATTGCTTTCATGGGCCTTCCCTCCCCACCTTATGTGAGTGTATATATAGGTTTGTCGAAAATACCGAGTCTATCTACAACTACAGAAGAAGTGTTGCTTTCAGGAGTCTTCCCTCTCCACCTTATGTGAGTGTGTATATAGGTTTCGTCAAGAATACCAAGTCGATCAACAACTACAGTTTTCGTTCGCCCTGTGAAGGAAGAAGGGTTCGAGACCCTTCTTCATACATTTCATCATTAGCAACAAGCTTTTGTAGTGGTAGACACAAGTATAGGTCAACTATACGTTATTTCTTAAAAAAACGCTCACGTGCCAAACAATAAATGAAACGAGTATCTACACTCTAGCCGTACTTGAATTTTTTCTCCGTGAACAACGCTTTTATTATTAATTTTTTGCTCAAATGTCCAAGTGGAGAGTGGAGATTATGCCACTTGGACATCCATGATTGGCTTGTGGGGTTGCTTCAACTCCACTCTTTGCTTCATCTCTCTTGTCAATGTTTTGCAGAAAGACATGGAGGAGGAGAGAGAATGAATGGTTACTGCATTTGGGTTTTTGGCATAAAAAGAAGATTTTATTAGATCAATTCTTTTCATTAATTTATTATTATTATTATTATTATTATTTTGCACTTTTTGTTACACGGAAATTATATAAATTCTAAGTGGGACCCTTTTTGCCCGAGATTTGTTCTAGTCAAGGTGTCCGTAGGTTCAGACAGATTTGTTTATTGTTATGAACCACGACTCTCCAAAATGGTATGATATTGTCCTGAGTATAAACGCATGATCATTCCCTAAATTAGTCAATGTGGGATGATTCCCTCCCAACAATTCTCAACCAGCTCCAATGAATCTTATAAATCCATGATCATTCCTTTAATTAGCCAACGTGGACCGACTCATTCCCAATAATTCTCAACATTTATTTGTTTTCAATCTTCCAGATGGTTAAAAAAATAACAATAAATTCAGGTCAGATTCAACCCAGCTCAAACAAGTTCATAACCCAATTAGTTTGAATTGATCTGATCGAATTTTTTCGGTCATCAATTTTTTCGAACACCTACGTAAAATAGAACCGATCTTACGGGTATTAAATGTTTTTTTGTTTTATCTTGAACCTAAAGAACAAAAAAAAAAAAAAAAAAAAAAAAAAAACCCATTAAGTTTTTGTTTTTTTATGCCTTGATGTCAAAGAAAAATACCATTTATATATGATTATTATAAATGCATAATAATGAAACATCCTAAATTGGAGGGAATATATTATAACATAAGTGTATAGATTTGTAGCATCCATAATTAGAAGCATAATCCTTCCCCTATAAATTAATCATCCACCTTATTTTAATTTTTATATATTCTCCCATTTAGCCACTCATTTATTTATTTATTTCCATTTTTGCTTTTTTTTCTTTTTAAAATAAAATTCCAATTTATTCTCGAGGTTTGCATTTAGTTCATTTTAGTCATCCTTTCAACTTTCGGTTAATTATTAGTGAAAAATTAACCTGACATATCTATATCATGCGACGTTTGATGACACGACACAGATGATGTTTCATGTCAGTTAAAAATGAGGAATGATTGTGAGTAGTAATGAATTAAATTTACCTCTCGTGTAACGAGACTCATTTTAGGTATAACCTTTCTAGTCGTCATGTAAGTGGTAAACTAACCAAGTTACCACTAGTAAATATTATTCGCTTTGGCTCGTTACGTATCGTCGTTAGCTTTACGATTTTAAAACCCGTCTACTAGAGAGAAATTTTCACACCCTCTCCAATCGATGTGAACCTTACAATCCATCCCCTTAGGGCCCAGCGTCCTTACTAGCAAATCACTCAATGTCTGGCTCTGATACCATTTGTAATAGCTCGAGACCATTGCTAGCTGATATTTTTCACTTTTGCATGTTACATATTGCCGTCAACCTCATAGTTTTAAAACGCGTCTACTGAAAAAAGATTTCCACACTTTTATAAGGAATGTTTCGTTCTCCTCTTCAACTAATGTGAGATCTCACACAAGGGGTTCACTAACATGGTCTTAGCCGACTGCTTGAATGACTAGCCTACCAAGGATCAATTGATTTATCGAGGGGACGACCTTTTTTGGGTTTGATCGCGTTTAGCCCTACATCTCCATAAATCATGGGCTTACTCGTCCCATCCTACTAGCACCTCTACCAGGGTACCTCTACTCGAATCTATATTCCTTCTCGGGTATTATCCAATTTTAACTGAATCGTCACACGGTTAATTTTTACTCGTAACAAGAAACTATAATCAATATTATAGCTAAGAATTTGACTTTCCACACATGTTCCCTTTTGCATTAGATAATAACTTATACATCTCATGAACTTCTCTCACCATCATATCCATCTTGTGATCCATATTCTTTCTCATTATTATCATTACCTCCTTTCGTGTTCTATACTCCCAACTTGATTGTTAAGCAAGTTACATTATTATACGTGAACACACGCTCTTTTTTAATCTCGTTAGGAGTATGATTAAATTTTACCTACTTTTCGTTTGGATTATAAAGCTAATCACTTAAGTTCGATGCGACGTTCGTTGTTTAGTTTTTAGAGCTCAACAACATGTTAGGATAGAGAGATTCAAACTTAAGACATCTTTGTAAATGAGATATGTCTGTAATGTTTAGTGATGTGACTATTTTTGTTATTTTGTTAGAGTTTAATAACACATGAAAAGAGAGAGATTCGAACATTTGAATGATATATGATTTAATTAGCTAATCTATGCTCAAATTGGTTGAAGGTATAGTCCCAAAAAATCTCTTGCATGAGCTAATATATAGCCCACGTTGGTATTAGAACATTTCTCTCGATGTATTGCTAAACGTTGGGATACTTCAGAGCTATGTCGATGCATAATGCATCAACATAGCCTCGTTTATCCAAATTTCATTAAGATAACTTCTCTCGACATGTTTATGACAATATTTTTCTACGATGCTTCTTGTAGTCACGATGATACCTTACTGCTGTTTTGCTTGGTTTGCCCAATGGTTTTCTCGCGTCTGGAAAACCAAAAATACGTCATAGTGATAGAAGTAAGTTCGATGAAAATTTGATTGCACTAAATGGACTTATCCAACTCACCCTCGACGAAATTCTTTGCTTACATATCTTAACGTCATTCACTCGACTTTTTCTCTTATCCATTAATTACTGTATCCTGACTGAAAATCTTCACAATATCGTAATTCAAAATTCATATTGTATGAGATTATTTAAAATTTAAAGACGGAATAGATACCCGACCGAAAATCAGGGAAGGTGTATTTTGGTGATTGAGTTGCTAGTCACATGTGCATCCCATCACGGAGACAAAGGATGTCCCTTTTTCAAATTTAGCTATTGAAAATATCAAATCAAAC